GAGGGCCGGCCTACAGATTCAGGGCTGGCCCCCTGCTCTCTGCTATGGTCACTTCCATCTCTCACTGGGCAATGGAAGGAAAAGAGAAGAGATAGAAAAAAAAAATGTTTGCTTTGTGATTTGCTTGGTAGTCAAACACTCTCAGTTCGCCATTAAATCCTACCATCTGGCATCCTTTTTCTAACAGAGAGACATCCTTTTCTTAACGTCAAAGCAGCATTAAGGGTCAGTTTTCCAGCTAGGTGGTACTGCATCTCAGTATAGGAATGGGAATGAAAAACTGAGTCCCACCAGATCCTTACAAGGGGGCCCTGCGCCTGCAGCATTCGTGAACAATGGCAAGACCAGCACAAATTTCAATTTGCATAATCCTTCATCTCTTTGAAACAGAATTCTGAATATTCATGCAGCATTTGGTGTTCAGAAAATTCAGCCAGTGTGGCAAAACCCAGCACCGTGGCATTTGATTCCAATAACATACCCTCTACACATCTCTGGGATGGTCATTGGCATATTAAATGCAGCTCAGAGGCACGGCAGGGCACCAACAGATTCTCTGAACAAAGAAATCATAAGATAAACTCTGTCCAGTATAATTTTAGGAGCAGTTACTGCTGTCTTCCAATCCTATTAAATGATGGGAAGCTTTGTCTATGTTTAAACATCTGTTAGATGGCTCTGGTGGAATCAAACACTCTTGTACACAAGGTTCAATCCTGATTTCAGTCTACTTTAACCTCCTTGCTTTAGGGCCCTTGGACTGCTAACCACAAGATCAGCAGTTCGAACCCACCAGCCACTGCTCAGGAGAAAGAGTTGGCTTTCTACCCTTGTAAAGAATTACCGTCTCAGAAACCCACAGGGCAGTTCTACTCTGCCACGTAGGGTCGCCATGAGTCGGAATCAACTCAGTGGCAGCGAGTTTGGTTTGGGGTTTTGCTTCAGGAAAAGAACCTGCTTATTTCTATAGCTGGTTGAGGGTTTGGGGGACAGCTAGCTAGGAAGGGGAGTCCCTGTGTGGTGTCAACTGTTAACATGCCCAGCTGCTAAATGGGAGGTTGGAGGTTCACATCCATTCAGAGAGGTGCTTCAGAAGAAAGGTTTGGCAATCTGTCTTGGGGAGGGGGGGCGGGGAATCAGCCATTGAAAACCCTATGACACTGGTTATGCTCTGACACATACAGGGCTGTCACAAGTGACAATCAAAACCATCTTTAGAGATTGCCAAACGACTCCAAACGGTCTGTGATAGCCGATTCTGGCAGCCTGTGCACAGGAGTGGCCAGATGCCCCTGAACACACGTCTCTGCATTTGACTGCTAAATCTGGTCCCTAACATGCGAAGCACTAACAGGTTCAGAACATAAGACTCTCAGCCTTCAAAAAATTAAAACCCAAACAAACCCACTGCTGTCAAGGTGATTCCAACAGCCCCTGTGGGTTTCTGAGGCTGTTAATCTTTGTGGGATAAGAAAGCTTCATCTTCCTCCTGAAAAGGTGGCTGATGGGTCCAAACTGCTGACTTTACAGTTAGCAGCCCAATGAGTAACCTCTCTCTCTCTCTCTCATACACACACACACACACACACACACACATAAATGAAACAAAACAAAAA